GTTGTGTTTGTGGATGTAGGGTTTGTGGATGGGGGATGTACTACCAAACGGGCTGGAATAGACGCAGTGGTAGTAGTAGTACAGTAGTGGTAGTAGTAGTACTCCCTATGTACTACTACTACTACCGCGTGTATTCCAGCTCGTGCTGACCTCAACATTTGAGTACGCAGGGTGGCAGGCTAGGTGGGATGTACGAAGGCGATGTACGAGAGGTAAGACGCGTTATTGGCAAAGGCCATGCTTCCGTCTGAAGCTTGCGATGGGAGCCGAGTGTTGCGTAAGCTGAGTCGACTCGCGCGCGTTTTTTTAGCTGCGAACTCGGCGGTAATGTTTGTAGTGGCTTTTGGGATCAGCGTATGGGATAGCGTAGGGGAGATGTTTGATTTGATACCACGGGGAGGAAGCGTCGCAATGGAGAACACGTCAGCGGCTTTGGCTTGAACTGCCGCGTACATGCTTGTACTACTCTACTCGTTGGACTTGTATTCTGGTAGATAGGATGCTAGCTTTGGTATGTTGTATTGGTACTGGAGAAGATGGAAGGCTTACCTGGATTTTGTAGTCCGCCGCTGCTAGTGTACCTAGATATTTGGATGTGCTTACTACTTCAGCTGTATTGTTTCGTATACATACACGTAAACGTACGCGTATATCGCGAGGGGGAGCAAGCGGGTTTAGTACATTCTTGTCTGACCTTCTCTGGTGCCATTGGGCTTGGCAGGCGGAGGGCAGGAGGTGGAAGTCCTCTAGCCATTACGATTGCGCGCATAGCAGTTATCCTCGTCATCTTCACAGGCTTTGTGTTCTCGCTGTGATAATTAGATCGCAGCAGCTGTGGTCATGTACCTTGGATCTAGTTTTGAACACCTGGTCAGGTCTGTTTCTACGATCCTCGCTCATACTAGTAGAAGGCTATACCGGACTTGGACCACCAGAGGATGCTTGTACTTGCTTAAACACTAGCTTCCATGGTCGAGGACGAGGTCGCTAGATGGGTCGGCTTTGATGTGGTCGTCTTTACAAAAGAATAGACGGTGAAGTGGTTTGGTCGTGCTGGCTATGGAACTGTACCTTGGTGGGCGGGGCGATCGCAGTAGCTGTTTGTATGGGTGTGAGAAACCCATGGTTTGAATACATCTGAGACGAAGTACTGTTATCACTGTCGATTTGGTGTCATCCAAACTCTTGCACTCGTTGCGAAGTTGTGTCTTGTTGAGCAAAGTGATCGCAACAGCCCTGGAGCGCTTGAGTGTCTATCACCTCCAAACCTCGGTATTTCGCAAAGAAACATCCAGCACCCTCACGATCTTTCTCAATTCCCCACATCCACGGCCGTTTACACCGCTCTACCCTCTCCACCCTCTCCAAAAGCGGAATTAAATAGTCCATGCATGAATCCTCCACATTTAACAAGTTTAGAGGCATCGCGATTATCGAATTTATCGAACGCATGCGTGTATGCGACTATCGCATGAGGTACATGGCTAGATATTCGCGTACCGTGGTTTGTTTTTCCCATCGGCCGAAAGCAGCAGTATCTCCATAGTATGCGACAGGGGACGGCCCGGTCTTTCATGCGCGAACATGAACTTGACAGAACGGTACTCGCGTGCTTGCCATGAGGAACATGTGCAGTCTGCTGTCGGAGAAACAGACATCTCCGCTACCGCGCTTCGTCGTTAAGAATAGAACTTTCGACGGACAATTCTCCGGCGTAAGCAGAAAAACTTCATGAGATGATTTTGTCTTATCGCAACAAAAAGGTGCCGACGCCTTCCGCCCGCTTACCACCTTCCGCGCTGTTCCCCTTCCTCTCACGATCTCCATATAACCGGTTCGTATCTGCTACGTCGCCTGCTACTTTCACGGGTAGCGTTGGTTGCAAATACGAGGTTTGGTGGGTTTCTATTTCCGGATGTGGCGATGGGTGGGTAGGAGCACTAAGGTAGCGGGTGTGGCACCAGCGGGGATCGTGTCCTTCTGCCAGCCTCGTTTTTTCCTCTCGACCGTGTACCTCGTACGACATCAACGAGACAGGTACCGTGGTAACATGTCCTCGTGGCACGGAGGCTGGGGAGATGGCGCCATACGGATAACCTCCGATGTGGGAATTTGGTGTGTAATGGGAATGTGAGGTGGAGAGGAGCTATCGAGGTGGTTTTGGAAGGTTGGTGTTCGAAATCCAAATAGCGACGGCTAGCGATACCGAGATGCGGGATGCGGAAAGATTCAATGCCACCGCATCCACCGGCACTTTCGCATACCGCCGTATGATGCCGTTATCGTGTAGTGGGAAAACTCTCGCCCGATGCGACCGGGACCGCCGTATTAGGTCACACAACCAGCCAACTGCCCAACGTCAGTCTGGTGACATTGAAACACGAGGTGATCAGCTTGTCGACAAGAAGGCGTATACGGTACGGTACGTCAGGGACTGGATATGACGTCTGCGTGTCGGAAGCTTCAATGCGAGGATGCAACGCGCAGGCTAGCTCACCCGTTTTCGTCATGTTTCCAGCGATATTGACGGGCTGATCAGTGCCTGAAGCATGCTTAGGGTGAGCTTAAACGGCCGGGACATTGCTGCTACGGGCATGGTTCAAGCCTGCAGGGACAGTGCAGCGCTGCATCTGCATGGATACGAGGACATGACGGTGGGGAAATAGGTGGGAGGGTCAATGTTACTTTGTTTAGTCGCGTTTTGTAGGTTGGAAGACGGTAGAACAGAACAAACCCCTCATACCCTGCACCGTCCGTCTGTTGGCCATTAGTATAAAGGGTTCCGCGAACGGCGCTGCACAAAGGGTCATCATCCTCAGCAAACTTTCAAAAGCAATTCACAGCAAAGACTAGTTTATAACTCCCTTTACAACACTCGCTTTCGAAGTTCTTCCACACCTCAACACACAAACTCGCCAAGATGAAGTACACCGTCGCTATCACCACGCTCATCGCCAGCGCCATGGCGACTGCCATCTCCTCCGACTGCCCCAAGCCCTCGCACACCGCGACCGTCACCGGCAGCGCACCTGCCTCGTCGTCGACCGCTCCCGCCGACGCCGCGCCCACCGGCTACTTCGGCGTCATCTCGTCCCGCAGCGCCTCGCCCATCCACCTCCAGTCCCTGACCGCACGCGGCGGAAAGTTCTACCTCGGCGGCGGCCCTCCCTCGTCCTACTGCCCATCCAACCTTCCCGCCGGCGCCTGCCCTCCCGGTAACACCACCGTTCTGGCCGGCGGCCAGGGAACTCTCTCCCTCGGTGTTGTCGTCCCCGGTGGCCAGGAGGTCTACGTTGCGCCCGGCGGTGCTCTGCAGTACACCACTGCCCACTCTGTCTCCAAGCCCGAGGGCTCAGACGTCACTGGCTTCAGCCGCACCGCGCCCGCTGACGGCAACGTCTACGGATACCTCGACTACGAGACTGGCTTCGTTGCCTGCCCGGCTGGCGAGGGCGAGGGATACCAGGTCTTTGGTGCCGTTGAGGACGGTGAATTCGGCGATGACTGCCTTGGCTTCACCGCTCTTGCTGGTAAGTTTTCTGCTTCTCTCAACATTTTGGATATGTGCTAACGATTCTCTAGTTGCGACCGAAGATGCTGGTGCCTGGCAATACTAGATCCCGCTCTAGCACCTGGAAATGGTGATAGTGGGGATCTTTAATGTCTATTGGATAATGAACATGAAGTGGTAGATGGAGATGTCCATGCTGTACATATGACGCTCCTTAATGACCCGGGCACAAAAGTAATATAATAGTAATGCCTTGACACGATTTTGAAACTTCATTCTCTGCCTTCCAAGACTGCTCTGATGCGATTGACTTGCTCCTCAGCTGTGCCTTTCAGGCCTGTCTGCACAACTACCGTCTTATCCCTACTCTTCATGCCTTTAACAACTTCAACATCCGACTTTGCAACTCTCAGCGCACCAGCAATGACTTCCCTCACCGCCCTATTCGCCTCTCCGTCTTTCGGCTGAGCGGCAACGCATATCTCAATGCGCTCATCAGAGACCGCTGCGATGCCTTCGCGTTGCGCACTAACCCCAGGCTTGACATGACACAGCAATTGAACAGTTCCTGAGCAGCTCTTCGCGGACTTTGAAGCCACGAAACGGATTGCGGGACCGGACATTAGCGGCGTTGGCGTGGAACACGGTAGAGTGCATGTGACTGCGATGAACGGTGGGTTAGAAAGGTCAGCTGGCTTCGCGTGCGGACCTCAGCATGCGGCTGAACCGGTAAAGCCGATCGCAGCCGCCCATTCCACGCCGGGATTAGACCCCTTCCCGCCCAACCAATCGCTTTTCCAGTGCACCTCCGAGCCATGCTACCAGCAAAGGCGAGCCTCTACACAGCAGTCCTCACAGATAGATACACATCTCCTCTGTTCCACAGCATGCGCAAAAGCCACGTTGACACCACCCATCCCAAGCCATACGCACCTCCCTAAAGCGTGCTGGCGCGCAACCGGGGCCGGTAGTGGGGGCATTCTTACGGTACCGGTCCTAAGATAAAGACTACTTCCCCTAAGTGATAAATTTGACGAGAGCCTCATCAGACGCTTCCTCTAAGTACAGGTGCACACGATGGAGGGAAAATTCAGCAACACGGAATTAGGTAAGAGATTGTAAGCGTATCCGGCGCAGATAAAATGCATAAAAGGCTGCCCGCCCTCGGTTTTTGGGATGGTTTCTGCATATTTCGCATTTCTTCGACTTCTTGACAGAGTTGAGTTGAGATAGAGTGTTTGTTGTACGCATTGCGGTATTAGCACTTTTTTTGCATGATAGATTGAGGGACATTTATTATTGGTATACAAATTCACAGCAAAAGGTAAGAGACGACTGCAATTGCTTTTGATGACGTGGTTTGCGGCGTGGTGGTTTGCTATCTAGAAGTCGCACTTCTGCAACGACCAACCCACGTACAATCCCATCTTTCCCACAGCTCTGCCCACTCCACACAACAAATCACATGACTAACCTCACCCCCAGCAAAATGACTTCCGCACCCACACTACAGCCCAAGTTCCTGCCGAACAAGCATGACCTAGGCATCGTCGCAGTCGGCTTCAGCGGCGGCCAGGTAAGCCCACGCACCACGCACCACCACCACCACCCATTCTCTCCCCAAAAAATTCACAGATTGACAATCTTATCCCAGCCCAAAGCCGGCGTCGACGCCGCCCCCATGGCACTCATCGAAAACGGCCTCATCAAGCAACTAGAACAAGACCTCGACTTCAACGTCACCTACGACAACCAAGTCCACAACTACTCCTCGCTGCGCCCCGCCTCCGACCCCGAAGTCCGCAAAATGAAACAACCCAGATTCGTGTCGGCCGTAACAAAGCAAGTCAGCGACCAAGTCTACGCCCACGCCAAAACCGGTAAACTCGTGCTAACCCTCGGCGGCGACCACTCCATCGCCATCGGCACCGTTTCCGGGACTGCGAAGGCGGTGAGGGAGAGGCTGGGCAAGGAGATTGCGGTGATTTGGGTGGATGCGCATGCGGATATTAATACGCCTGAGTCGAGCGAAAGCGGGAATATTCATGGTATGCCGGTTGCCTTTTTGGCGGATCTTGTGGACAAGAAGGAGGAGTTGACGGAGGATGTTTTTGGGTGGTTGAAGGAGGAGCATCGGATTAGTCCGAAGAAGTTGGTGTATATCGGGTTGAGGGATATTGATAAGGGGGAGAAGGCGATTTTGAAGAAGCACAACATTAAGGCGTATAGTATGCATGAGATTGACAGGTATGTTATATATCCTTTCCTAGAGATTGGCATCTGGGTTGCTAACAGGACGATAGGCATGGTATCGGCAAAGTCATGGACATGGCATTGGGTTGGATCGGAAGCGACACGCCCATCCATCTCTCCTTCGACGTCGACGCTTTGGATCCCCAGTGGGCGCCTAGTACGGGTACGCCTGTCCGTGGTGGTTTAACGCTGCGCGAGGGTGACTTCATCGCTGAGTGCGTTGCTGAGACTGGTCAGCTTATTGCGCTGGATCTTGTGGAGGTTAACCCCAGCCTTGATGCTGAGGGGGCTGGTGATACGGTTCGCGCTGGTGTGTCGATTGTGAGGTGTGCGCTTGGCGATACGCTTTTGTGAGTTTGTGTGATGGATGGAGTTTTAGAGGGGTTTGGGAGGGGTAGATATAGATGGTATCGGTAGACGGTCAATGACGCAAGTTCACATAGCAAGTACACCGCTGTTGAATTGATGATGCAAATACACGTCCATCAGTACTGATTTTCATATAAACAGATGCTAATATACTAAGAATGATAGGCGCACTAATACACATTGGCTCTCATCCGAACATCGCACCTAGGCCTGTAGCTTTTGGCCGCTGGCTCTTGTCTGATCGTCCGAACATCGCACCTAGACCTAGGCTCCGACCTGAAGTTTGCTTTGCACGCTTAGTCTTTTCTTTTGGCCTTCGCCTGGTTTTCTCATCGCGACTGCTCTTCTTTGGCCCACCGAACTGTACATGGCCTTGATCTGATACATCATCAGAAGAAAAGCGAGCTTTCCCTGGGGCCAGTTTTGATTCCGGTTCCGATCCCCCAGCGATTGCTTGATCCGACTCATAATTTTCTTCTTGCCAATACTCTAGCTTTGGCTCTTCAGGAGGGGGCATGTAGTTTGCGGCCGGTTCACCTGGATCTTTTGTTGATCCACGCGGGAAAGATACCATCCTAATTAGCTTTCCTGGTTCACCTCCGCTGGGTTCGGTGTAATAACTGTGAAGTGCGATTGAACGCTTCGCTCCCCGATCGCGATGAGCGCTAATCCTTGTGCCTGGCGGCTCATATCCGTATGTAGCGGCCGTGCTCATTGCTGCCACGTCGATGATTTGATTGGGTTGTGGTGGATTATGTGATCTCCGAACGTCGACGCGATCCGAATCGTCGTCCGTGTACTCATCCACACTCGGACTACTGAGCTCCCAGCTGTCTGAAGAACTACCGACTTCCCAGCTGTCTACAGACTTATCTCTAGCCTGGTCTACTCGCGGTAACGGTAGCCGCCTCTGCCCGACAGGTGATGAATAACGCGAAGGTCTGACCACACTAGGTGGACGGCCTATTGGCGATACGTTCCTAGGATATCTTTGTGCGCGCGTCGTTTGGACTGTGGCTCGGCGCGGTCTCGATGTATCTTGATCATATATGGGAACGTATCCCGGGGATCTGCGTGCACGACTTGGTACGGGTATATCGTATATGGGCACGTATTCCGGTTCGGTACGTCGCATTCCAAAGTCCAGATTTGGTGCGAATGGGTTTCGAGGGGGCGGAAAGTGATGACCTTCTGCTTCGAGAGGCACGCTTTGGTACTGGGCGGACTCATACATGGGATGGTAGGGAGACCACGGTTGTGGAGCGAAGTAGTAACTTCCCGATCGATCCAATGCTGGACTTTGACGGTTATCGAGCCCACGCGCTGGTTGTGTAGGGGTCAGTCGCTTGCCCTTGCTGACCCTTGTCTTAGGCTTGTCATTCCTGGCTGAACTGGTTCCAACATCACCTTGGGATGCACCATCTCCAACGTCTTTCTGCTTCGAACTGTTACCACTGGGGGTATCAATCGACGATAGCACACTGCTAAGTATTCTCTGAGGTTTCTGTATGACGGGGGTGGATCCCGGACATATAGAGCAGTACTGTTTATTGGGACAGTCTAGTCCTTCAAGGCCCATTTTGCAGCCTTTGTGAACCTGATGAGTACAAGAAAGCGCATTGATCGAGACAGGTTCCTTGTTGCGTCTACCCAAAGGTCTTCTGCAGATGACGCACATGTGTAATGCTGCCCAAACGTAGCCTAATCGACTCGGTGATCCTTCCGAATAGAACAAGCCATCTCTGAGAACTGTGCGCGACCGATTGAGCATGCTACGTTCGACAGCCTTTAACAGACTCCTGACTTGAATATACTCCGATGCGATTTCAAGGCTCGGACATTGTTCCACTTTGAACATTGGCACGATCGCGTTAGGTATGAATTGACGTTTGTTGGTTCTGAAGCTCTTTCCAACAAATCTGCATATGTGATGCAGAACATCGTGTGCAAGCAGGTACCCAACCTCGCAGAGTTGGCGATTGCCTAAGTAGATGCCGAGTGGGTTGTAGCAGTCAGAGCAACCACGAGCGTGGCCATCAAAGTTTGTCGTGGCCTTCATTTCCAATTCAGTTTGCGGAAAGATCACCTCAGGGTGTTTGATGTTGTTTCCCACCAAACGTCGAACCGGAGACGGCGAGCGTGGAATTGAGTCAATATCATCAATCGGATTACGTAAACACAAGATCTGGTTGTGCATTGTTTGAGTAGCTTCGGGTTGATGAGCTTCTGCCGAAGGGGGGTTCGGAGCAGGGCCTCGATGTGGCGGAGCACTCGTATGACTCTCGTCACTACTCGATGGAGTATTTTCTGGTACTTCAGGCGCTCTCTCTTCCCCAAAGCAGCTTTGGTTATTCATGTCCGAAGACACAACCTGATTGGGCTCCATGCCTTCAGTGTTTGCGTCGTCAGGAAATTTCCCCGTTGCATTGACCTGCATTTGAGCCGGCCTCTGTACTCTAGATTCCGTATTCTCGCTCGCAGACGGTGAGCTTTCCGTGTTGTGTTGGAGAAGATTTGAATGATGAAGTCCAATATTTCTGTCTAAATCATTTGATATGAAAGGAGTGACGGAAGTATTGCCCAAGACCGAACGACGGTAATTCTGTTCCTGAGGCGCTCCCTCAATGTTTCTGAAGCTAGAGACGTCTTGTGAACAATCTTCGGGCGTGAGTTGACTCTCAGAATCTTCAATTGACGACTGACTATCTTCTGATGTCTCGTCTTCTAGATCGAGGCAGCATATCCCTTTGAATGTATGCTGTATGGAAGATTCGACGCTCGCCTCGGTAATGTAGTTGTCAAGAGTATGGATGTTCCAGCGTGCTTGAGGCTTCTGGTGCAACATATTCACGATCCAGTCAGCAGGGATGAGATCGCTAGATGGTCCAGGTAGTCGTTGAAGGAGTGTAATCCAGCTCGAGATAGCTTCGGGGTTGGAATGATATGCTTCCATACCCGTGCCCTGTTCACCCATGTGGGCCCTCAAGTCTTTGATTGTGCGACATCTCAGAACAGTCCACATCTCCAAGAAGACACACCCAAAGGACCATATATCGGCCGCGGAGTTACGTTCGAGATAGGCCATGACTTCAGGTGCACAGTAGCGGGGAGTTGCAGGCGCAGCTGTTACTGTGGTACTATTGTCGCGTCCCGACCAGTCGAGTGAAGTGCCAAAATCTGTGAAGTAAACCTGATCGTTTTTGATGAGGACATTTGAGGGTTTGATGTCTTTGTGACGGATCTGATGGTCGTGAAGATAAGACAGTGCGGAAGTCAAGCAGCCAAAGAAGGGTCTTAGGAAGGACCGTGATCTCTCGTCTAAGTCCGGTCTCTCCATGAAAGTCTGTAGATTAGTGTCTGCTACAGGAAGCATGACAATAGCCACAAACTTCTTGTCCGTATAACTGCCGACCAGTTCGACAAGATGTCTGTGAGACAGCCGTTTTAGGTTGGAAAGCTCTTTCGTAAAGTCCTTCAAAACCTGCTTGTCTTTCTTGAACGTTCTTCCTCTCAGTATCAGCTTCCTAGCATACTCTTGATGACTTATGGTGCTGACGACCCGATCGACGTATCCAAATCCACCCTTGCCTAGCTCTCCAACCTTCTTGAGCGGTATCTCTTTTGAATCGCCGAAGTGTCCATGGCGTGCGTGTCGCTCGAGGTTAAGAGCTTCGGTGTTGTAGACCAGGTGTTGTAGTTCGAGGAATTGGAGCCGTGCCGAATGATCGCGTAGCGCCTCTGGCAGGGTATTCTTGTTGAACGGGAAGTAGACGTCTGTAATTTCGCTGTCAATAAACGCGTCTATTGCATCTAGTTGACCAATCTTTCTCAGAATGCTGTACAGTCTCGGGACACGGCTCCAACGTTCGCGCGCACAGCGTGTCAAGACGTCTGCGATACCGCGAATATCGTTCTCGGTAAAGAGTGTCGAAGCATTTTCAGCGCTGTCAGGAAACCATCTCCGTAAGAGGTCCTCCTCGAAGCCTTGCTGTGCCATTTGGCGAGTCCGTCCAGTGGGAAGTCGCTATGTGCACGGCGCCCCGTATAGGCCAGCGTCGCGAAACGCATAAGGAGTTGTTCCAGTAAAGTTGAACTGCGTATCTCATCTGCGAGCGACAATGGAAGTCGTCATAGTTTCGCGGTAGTAACAGGACGAGTGGCGAGGCAGGCCAGCGTCTATGTGAGACGAAGTTGAGAGGGGTAGTAGGCACCGCCCCCAATCGTGCAGGTCAGCTCCTGCAGCAACCCTGCATCCATTCGTCGTTGAACAGATCCAAGCGAGATGCGCCACAACACTCAGCCTCCTCGAATGTGACATGCAGTGTCGCCATCTCGTCCATTGTCGAAGCTTTTTCTGGGCTGGAATATGCGCGAAACTTATTCCTTGAAGCATTATTGCTGAGCTACAGGCTAGTCGACTGCTCAAAGTGGCTGTGTCGCGATCCAGCTTGTGTTGTTGATGGTACCTACGTACACTCTTCTCGGTCAATAGATGCGCAGAAACCCTGTCGCTAATGGAAGCATTGCGCAGCACTAGCTCGCGTAGACTAGTAGAATCTAGATATGATGAAAATGTACTTGTAGCTGAAGATCTGTTGCGGAATTGTTGTGGTGCTGCTCGTCACGAATGGGGTCGGGAAGTGCTTTCCTCAGAGCGCCGCGCCCTAGCCCACATTCGGCGTGGCACTAACGATCAGAACAAACATTAGTACCTTCCTGCCAGTACTCCAAATATGACACTACAGAATGAGAAACTTGAGTGCCTTTGACCCAGACTGTTGTCTGGGATAGCTGTGCTGGTCGGTCGCATCACAGAACTAACGCGATCTCACGGCCCTTTTCGCCGGTGCTGACCACACCCATCAACCCTGCACTCAACCACTCAGCTTTACTACACCACCTTCCACATTGTCGCATTCTATAATTGAACAAGTTGTTTAAGCTTCGCGCTTCTAAGCCTCTAGTCTACAATCACATGTGGAAGCCTTCCTCGGCAACACTCGGCGCGTCAAGCTTGCAAAAGCCATGCGTCATGGCGTCAACGCCGACTTCCGTTGGTCGACCCGCAAGCACCCGGCGAGTGGGTGGGTGTCGATAAGTAAAACTTTGGTTTTGATAAACACTGTTTTGGTTCAATATTCAAAAATTGCGATTGGCACTTTGGTAGTCAAGACTGAAAGATGCTGTCTCCGGCTCGTATGTCGCTATTGCCGGGTGGTGTTAGGGAATTGGTGTCTTCACCTGCGTCGAGGTCGCGCACGGCATCGCTATGTCGGACAGGAGCTTTGATAAGCGCAAAGCATGGAAAAAGCTTGGAACAAAAGAGGATGATCACGATTGAGCAATTGGATAAGAGGAGAGACAGTACGTTGTTCTCCTTGCTCAGCGTACCTCTCGTACAAGAGCCCAAATACTAACAACCCCATCACAGACCGCGAGCGCGTAGTCATCCTAGGATCCGGCTGGGCGGGCTTCACAGTCGCCCGCAGTCTCGACTCCTCAAAATTCCAAACCCTCGTCGTATCGCCACGATCCTACTTTGCTTTCACGCCTCTCCTTGCCTCGACCGCAGTCGGCACCTTGGAATTCCGGACCGCGCTCGAACCCGTGCGCAGCCGACGAACTAAAGTAGATTTCTTCCAGGGATGGGCCGACGATGTCGATTTCAAGAACAGGACGATTACGATTGAAGAGGCGGTTGACGATCCGAAGCAAGGTGTTGCATTAACCACGGATCGACATGCTGGGGAGACGGCGGAAGAGAGGGAGGCGGAGAAGAAGAAGGAAGCGAAAGTAGGGAAGCTGTTTGATGTCGAGTACGACAAGTTGATTGTGACGGTGGGATGTTATAGTCAGACATTCGGCACGCCGGGTGTGAAAGAACATGCCTTCTTCCTCAAAGACGTAGGCGACGCGCGCAGGATCCGGAACCGCATCCTAGCCTGCTTCGAAGGCGCTGCTCTACCCACCACCTCCATCGAGATGAAGAAGCAGCTCCTCAATTTCGCCGTCGTAGGCGGCGGACCCACTGGCATCGAATTCAGCGCGGAACTACACGATCTGATCAACGAGGATATGAAGAAGCTGTACCCGGAACTCGTTCAGTACCACAAGATCACTGTTTACGATGTCGCGGAGAAGGTGCTTCCGATGTTTGATCAAAAGCTCGCGGGGTATGCGATGCAGAAGTTTAAGCGTAAGGGCATTGATATCAAGACGAGTCATCATGTGGAAGAGTTGAGGCCGGGGGCGCCGGCGGAAAGGAGCTTTTCGGATGATGTGGATGATTACCATTTGTATACGCTCAAGGTGAAGGAGGAGGGCGAGATTGGTGTGGGCATGTGTGTGTGGAGTAAGTCTCTCTTCTGTTTCCTTCTCATATCACCACTCTCCACCCAGAAGTATGAGATAACCCCACTAACCCCACCCCCAGGCACAGGACTAATGCAAAACCCCTTCGTCGACCACGCCCTCTCCTCCGTCCGCGAAGCACCCACAGATCTCTACCTCCCACCAAGCTCCTCCTCCCCCTCTTCCACCTCATCTCCCCAATCCACCACCCCAGCCAAAGACGTAAAATGGATAGTGAAGAAAGACTCTAAATCCGGGTCCATCATAACCGACGACCACCTCCGCGTCAAACTCATCCCCTCTACCTCCTCAGGAAAGTCAGGAGAACAATCAGGAGAGGTAGTGCAGGAAGCAGTCCACCCCTCCGTCTTCGCCCTCGGCGACTGCGGAATAATCGAATCAACAACCTACCCAGCCACCGCCCAAGTCGCGTCCCAAAAAGCCTTTTGGTTGGCAAAACGGCTCAACAACGGTTCCTTATCCACTCCACCATCTCCTACATCAAAGGGTTTCACATACCGCGACCTGGGCACTTTGGCCTACATAGGTAACTGGAACGCGTTGTTCCAAGGCGGCGGCAAATGGGGTGGCAGGCTCCAGGGGTATGTGGCGTGGATTATTTGGCGGGGGGCGTATTTGACGCGGACGGTGAGTTGGCGGAATAAGGTTCTTGTGCCGGTTTATTGGGTTGTTAATTGGGTTTTTGGGAGGGATGTTAGTAGGTTTTAGGGGGGTGTTGTGGTACTGTGTAATGTGTAGGATGGAGCTTTGGTTCGGCTGGTTAAGGAATTGTAGAGATGGAATCGATGTTTACTCAGTCTTAGTTCTATTTAGTAAAGAGATGTAAGCGCATGTACAAGATAACTGCCTGCTACGAATTCCTTTCAGACCAATTCTTATACTTTATGTTGTATCCACATAAGCAGGAAGCAATCTGATACCCTGCCGAAGCGATCTCTGCAATAGCAATGCACATGGGTATCCCATAACCTCCCGAAGACCCAACCAACCCATATACTCCAGAAAAGAAACATGTCTAGGCCACACAGCCCTCCCAGCCCACAGCTCACTACTTCCCATTCCTACCCCCCAAATACCCAACCACATCCCCCGCCCTCTCCAACCTTGCCCTCGTCTCCGGCAACCCCTTATTCAACCTCTGCAACCCCGTGACCGCTCTCTCCCAATTCCTCTCTACCTCCTCTTGTCTCTGCAGCGCCTCCACCCCAGCCACATCCCCATCCCCATTCTCAGCAGCAGCAGAAGCAGCGTCCTTCTCCATACTCTCCTGCAGCGCCGCCCACACCCTCTCCTCCTCTTCAAACCCCTTGATCCACGTCTCCGCCGCAACCTTCGGCGTTGTCCTTCGTTGCTGACTTATTTTCGCAATGAGCGCATCGCGTTTAGCCACTGTAGCAGATAGTTGACTCCGCAATTTATCGTCGAAAGGTTCGTATTCCACTGTTTCGACCATGGACTCCCCTTCCCCTTCCCCTTTCCCTCCACCTCCTCCTCCATGTCCATTAACAACCCCATCCATCCCCTCTCCATCCCCACTCTCCACAACATCAATCCCATTGATACTAACGTTATGCCTTATCCCCTGCAGTACTTTCGCCACAAATATCTCAACGAGGTCCTCGACCGAGCGACGTAACTCGTCTGGCGCATCGCCGTTTGTAGCGCTGGAGGGCACGGGCGGGAGGTGCAAGTCGAGTTTCTGGCGCGCGGCGGTGCGGATTTGGGATGTGAGGAAGGTGAGGTCGGAAGGGGATTGGAGTTCGATTTTGCGGTGGGAGGTGTCCATTTTTGGGTGGTATGGCAGGCGTGGTAATGGGTGAGGATTGTTGTTGCGCGGGTGCGCTGTGGTGGGGTTTGTGGGGTGAGTGCGCTTTTTAAGTTGGATGGACGGTTTGCGCGGAGATTGTGTTGGGGCTTTCTCGGTGGTGGCAGCGTCTCGTGTCGTGGAATGCGGGTCGTCGTTGTGGTGGTCGACTTTGTTATGGTTCTTGTTTGCGAACGCGGAACGTGGACCGCGCGCGTCTTCGCCTTATCAGCCCGCCTTATCGGGGCCGAGGTGTGGGGCCGCTGCGTCCCTCGAAGCTGCACTCGAACAACGCAGTCGATACCTACTGTTGGAAACAGGATAATGTATCATTAAATGTGATTTGTTTGATTTGAGATACATCCTTATAGATGATTCCTAGACCCTTCAAGGAGCGAATGAACGCATCCCGCAACGCCATAACCCATCCAATCCAGTCTCATGATATACAACCCTCAAACCAAACGCCTGTGATTCCATACCAAACGTCTCTCCCAACCCATATAAACATGGCTTCAATACCGCGTAATCCATAAAATGCCAAAGCATATGCACATCCATGTCAGGCGCCAGTTCTTAGGATAATTGGGATACTACACGATTTGTCAAGAACTCCGCAATTGTAAGGAGCCTTTTTGTAACTGTACAAGAGGTTCCTTATAATTGCAGAGCTCTTTACAAATCGTGTAGTAGCCCATTTCATCCGAGTACCAGCGCTTGTATCATGCCCACGCATCTCTCCACATGTACTCCGCACCACCCAGCCAATCCCCTATGACGGGAACATATTCCTAACCTCCTCATCCGTAACAATAATGTCC